TTATTTGATATTAATCATTTTGCTAATACACTCTCAACAGGTATATGTAGTCATACATGTAGTCGATTAGTAATTCTTTCTTCATAGCCCCAACAGTACCAGTGGGTGATATTATATTCTCATCAGTAGAGTCAGTGTCAATGACTGTCTCATGGGATGAAGTACCTTGCAATGGAAGGAATGGACCAATCACTGGATACTACCTCACATACACTAACATCACTTCAAACACTAGTTACACTGTTAATATCACTGGAGGAGACAACAGAATGTATAATCTCACAGGATTAATACCATATACTAACTATACTGTGAGTATAATACCTTATAATTATAATATGAATGGACCAGCTAGACAAGAAATACAATTAACTGATGAATCAAGTAAGTCAATAAGATATTGATCGGTTTAACATGATCTTAACACAGTTCCTGGTCTGATATCTGATCTATATACAAGGGCACCAACTGAGATCAATATCATATGGAATCCTCCTACAATACCTAATGGTATCATTACAGTATATGAGATAAGATATAGAGAGTCTACCAGTACTGGTCCATACAATATAACTAACACTACTAACACTTATTACAGTATAGTAGGATTGATACCTAATACTACATATACTATTGGAGTGAGAGCATATACTAGTATTGGACCAGGAGAATGGATTGATAGAGAATATGCTACTGCTCAAATTTGTAAGGAATTATTGAAAGATTATAATTATTATCGTAGTATATATATATAGTTGCAATTGTAAGTCAATACTTTTCTATAATAAAGTTCAGTTCTACAGCAGTGATAGCTGTGTGGAGTTCAGTTCCTGGAGCTAGTCATTATACTGTCTATTATGAGTCAACCAGTAGCTCCTCAAGAAAGAAGAGACAAGCAGAGACAGGAATGAGAGTATTCCCAGGTGATACTACTGAAGGTCTAATAGGAGGATTAGATCCTAATCTGAGCTACTTGTTCTCTATATCTACATCATTTAATGTTAATGGAATCATTTATGAAGGAGAGAGGACTCGACCAATACCACCAGGTAGTGTTATACATATTATTATGTACGCATGTCGTGTAAACTGTATTTTAATAGGTCTTATTTTAACTTCTACTATTGTATCAAGCACTTCATCAGTCATTAGTGTTACAGGATCATCAACAAGTAAGACAGTACATATACTAATAGCTGTATGTAGTCAGTTTATTTTAAAGTAATGTCATCAATAGTGCCATTAAACATGAGTAAACATATCACTGTTGATGCATGTACTATAATCAGTTTATGTTTATAGTTTCTTATTCTACTGAGACAACTACCATGACTACTGCATTGACTACTGCATTGACTACAGTGTCAACTACTGCAACTACTGTATTGGTCAATAATGGAGGAAATACTGGAGTGATAGTTGGTCTAAGTGTAGCTCTTATTGTTTCATTAGTACCGGCTATAATTATAATTATTATACTGGTGCTAGCATTGTACTTAAAAAGAACTAACATTAATCAAAAAAGGTAAATGTACTTACTATGTTAAAATTTGTAGTAGTTTACAATTACATAGAAAATCAGATAATGACATTGTAATGGAATGCAGTCCAGCTTATGCTACAACTAAATCCAAAACATTGTTAGTTCAATACAGTATTGACTTATTACGTCTATACCACACACATGCAGTACTGCTAATGATATACTAATGAAAGATAGTCCAGCATACAGTAGTACAGTACAACAAACACAGTCAGTTATATAAAATACAATTATTAATATTAATTAAAGTTGTTATTAATAGATCAACTGTTGAGCCAGTGTATGATACAGCTGGGCCCAAGACTACTATTACACCTACTCAATATGAAATACCAGTTTCATGATTTGGTACACAATACAACATTTAGGTGTGTCTTTGTCATAGATTTAAACTTTAAAGTAGCAAAAATAGAACAGCAGTTTATTACATCATCATTGAGTATACCAAATTTTACAATAATTAAAATTCTGTGCATGAGTGTCTCCTATTAGTAATACAGTTATTTTCAATGTACAAGTAAGTCTTTGCTAGTATGATAGTATCAGATCCTTTTCTGGAAAGTTTTTCCTTACAAAGCTGCCCTTGATCCTAACTGTAGTGCTCTTTTAGGAAGTAACTTTTATATTATTATTAATGTGTTCATTTATTTATATACCATGAAACTGAATGTACAAATTTTGTAAAGGAAGGAACAAGGAGGTGGTGGTGTGTATCAACTGTTGCATAAATTTCTATGACATGTGTTTCCTGATGTTATAGCTTTATGTAGGAAGAGTTTAAGTTTCCTGTGAAGATGTTGAGGACATTGCTTCTTCTTGCTGGCTTCCTCTATATATGAATCACCTTTGGACTTGTCATCACTTGAACCTCTACAGAACAACTACACTGTAGAATCAGAGCAAGAAAATCAATTAAAAAAATTATTTAAATTAGCCTCATTTCATATACAATTTACAAGTATTTTAGATCTAGTATCAATTAGGATTGTATACATGAACTTAACATTTGATGTGTGTGTGTGTGTCATACATGTACATGTACATGTGGATGTGTTATTACATTATGGAGTGTATGTACATGTGTGTTCATTTTTTCAATCTTTGCTTGCATCAGATATTTTCCCACTGCATGTAGTGCTTTTTTTGGGAAATACTTTTGTATTTATTTATGCCATAAGCAAACTATCAGTGTATGATGAGTCAATGCTGTAATGGTCACAAGACAGTTGATGTTTTGGCATAAGAACAAACAACTATTATCAATGCATGTTCTGGTTTTGTAAAGGAAACATTATGCTGGAATTGCCTTCTTAACCAAGTCAACATACTTTATGTTTTACATGCAAAATAGCAATTAAAAAATACACATGTTATACAAGTTAAAAAAACAAGGTGAAGTAGGACTCTGGAGCAAATTCGTAAAAAAAGTAATGAAAACAAGGGCAAGTAGGATTCTGAATGACCAATAAAGATACAAAATGAAAACCTTACTCTCATGACATAAATTCTACTTTATGCATTGTACTTTTAATGTTAAACATGATAAAAGTACTGGATAATGATACCATCATAATAGGCCCCCGGTAATTCAAAATCCACAAGAAGTCGTATACAATTCTCCTTTGGACTTGTCATCATTTGAACTTCAACCAAGGATTCAGCCTCCACCCACCCACTATAGAGTAATGGCAGAACAAGAAAATCAACAATGATAAATTATATATATAAAACTCTATGCACGAGTTGTGTTTGTTGGTATTATATACATCATTAGATTGCAAGTAGCTAATATTGTGTGTACTATTATTATTTACAGCTATTTTTTATGTACAATTAAGTCATTGCTACCCTAGATTACTCTTTAGGAGCCAAAGCTATGTACCAAAGGCTATCAAACTGAATTTACAAGTCTTGTAACAGCTTCTATAACAATAACAGCGGGGTTATAAAAGCTAAAGGTATGTTAGTTTCCTCTTGTGAGTTGTTATATCTACCAAGTTTATATTTGCATGTTCATATCTTCTTGTGTACTATTTCTCCTGTGAAGATGTGGTGAAGTAATGATTATTATTCTTATTATCACTGTTATTATCACTATTATTATTATTATTATTATTATTATTATTTGCTACCAAGAGTAGATAATACTTATCTACTCTTGTTGCTACTATTAGCACTATCATGACTAATGAATAAATTATAATTGTTATTATTATTAATTATCTGTTCACGCATGCGCATATACATCCTAGTACATGTTCTCTCTCTCTGGTGTCCTCTTTCTTCTCTTTGCCTCTTTACCATTTGTTATCTTTATCAATCTAGTGCTTTAGCACTTTATCTTTTATCGAAAGGATCATATTGATAAGAATACGTTCCCACAAAGATGTTGAGGGCATTGCTTCTTCTTGCTGCCTTCCTCCTGTTGAGAGTTGAAGGACAAGCACCTAATAACATACCTAGTAATGGTAAGAATATAAACTTAACTATTGCAATAGTAGACTAACCTGATGTATATAGGCATTCAATTGTACCTACCTTATGATAACAAGATAATACCTGATTACTCTATGATGTATGCTAGACAGTTGTATGATGTTGATAAAAATAATAATGCTAACAATATCAATGGTGCTTTGTGGTGTCAGAGTGCTAACAATGTTACTAATATTGGAGTGTGGTATTATCCTAATGGAACTGAAGTACCTTTATTTGATAAATCCTTTGTTGATCCATCAGCTCCTAGTCCGTTGTTCAGTAAGAGATTCAGTGGTCAGATTGCACTAGCTAGAAGAGATGGACTATCAGGATATGAAGGTTTATACAAGTGTATCATTCCTGATGAGAATGGAGTGAATCAAACACTAGTGGTTGGAGCATATACTGATACTGGATACAATAACAATGGTATGTGATGAATATAGACTATAATTAATGTACTTCTTTTACAGATGGTCCTGATGCTGATCCTACTATGCAGTTCTCTCTCCTCTCCACTAGTAGATTAGCTACTCCTCCAGTCTTCAGTCTCAGTTTCAATGTCTCTGATGGTCCTCCTACTACTGTCAGTTGTTCAGTGAATGGGAATGGAATATCTACTGAACTGTCTCGTGTGATAGTGAATGGACCAAGATCAGTTACAAGAGTGACAGTAGCAAACTTAACTGAAGCTGGTAACTATCAGTGTACTGTATCTAATGACAGAGTAACTAATGGACCTATTAATGGTAGTAGTGAT